CATCTGAGGCCACTGGTACTACAATTGGACCAAGAGAAAGGAGGCTATGAACACAGCAACATCCTTGCTGTGAGCAAGGTGACTTCACCTCCTTCCCCCACCTTAGGTTTGAAATTGAGAAACCCAGAGACGAATATAGCCCTAGGCCACCGTGTGCAAAAATGGGAAATATCACTCACCAGGTCCTCCCCTGTGTTTAACCAGAATCATCAGCCTATAGATTCAGGAACTAAGTGGCTTGACCATTTTGCACGTAAGCCGTATGCATTGGTCCAAAGAAGACCAGTGAGCAACAATTCAATTTAGAGTTCACTGAACCCTCTGGTTTGGGAAGGAAATTGCTGGTAATCAATTGCAGCAAGCACACAGGCTGAGGGCCAGGAAGAGAAAAATCACTTTAATGGGCAAAGCAGATGTTGCTAAACTCATTGCAACAGTGAGATGGGCACAGAGCCAGGTCTTGCATGAGAGATGCTGATCTGTTCTTCTGAATGAAGAAAACAGAGATACTTCAAAAGGGGGTTCCACGAGGGAAGCCAGAGGTCTGTGTCCCCGTTAGACTGAATAAAAGAAAATGCACCGAGGTACTCAGGTCTCCTCTACCGCCACAGGACTTAAAGCTGTTAACATCTCATAAGGACTTTAAGCACATCCAGAATACTAGCTAAAAACTGTCTGGAGAGTCTTCGTTCTGTTCTAAGGAGCCTACGTGGTAGAGTGGAAAGAATATAGGCTTTGGCATCAGAGCCGTTTCTTCCGTCAATTAGTTGGTTCCAGCATCAAGAAGTTGTATGACCTTGAGCAAAGTTCTTAATCTGTTTCAGTTTGCTCAGCTGTACAATGGGCCTAATCTCACTGACCATATGAGAGCAGTTGTGAGGATTAATGATAATGTCTATAAAGTACTGTAGAGACATGCACTTCAGCAATAGCATGTTTTCAGATCCATGACAAGACTGGAGCCCTTAGAGACAATTGGCTCATGAAGGAATGGAGAGGTGGGGGGAGGGGGATTTCTGGTTCAATATCAGCTAGCTTTGCCACTGCCTCTCAGTGATGGATTGCTTCCCAGGCCAAATGTTGCTTTGTATATGTAGGTGGGTAAGCATAGAAGAGTTCAGAGAGTGCGATGTCAAGGCCAAGGAAGGTCACCGTGTATATAAGAATGTTTTCATGAAGTATCTTCTAACACAAGCCTACTGAATAGAGATTGATTCTGATTCCCCAAACCTTCAACGTTCCTCACTTACCTAATTCCCATGCATTCTTCGAGGGCGAACCAGACTCCTTCCTCTGAGAGTCATCACAGATTCCTCTAGACCTCACCATCTCTACCCATTCAGAAATTCCCCGAGTTTTTATCAGCTGCCTTAAATCCTTCATGGAACAAGATAGATTCAATGCCAAACTGATTCATTAAAAACTTTAAATGCTACTTGCTCAATTCTTTGGCCTGTAATAGTAAATTGTCTCACACTGCTCTTTACCTGAATCGTGTAGGTCTCTCCTAAATATTTTGTAACTTCCTGGAGTTCAGATATTGATCTTGAACTAGTTAAAATCTCCAAACCAGAAGGCAGAGAGACCAGAGGGCTCCATTACTTGACTAGTTGTGTGAACGTGAGCTGTTTCTTACCTTTCTAAGCCTTGGTTTCCATCACCCGTAAATAGCAGATAATAATAGTGCCTTCCTCCTAGGCTCTTGCAAGGACTATATAAAATCAGGCCTATAAAGTGCTCAGCACTACCATGTTAGCTGAGTAGGAACAGTCACTCTCCTAGAAGCTTCTTCACCCAGAGAGGCTAGCCCATCCCTAAGCATCTAGAATGTCAAATTGCATTCACGTCCCCTGAGATTTCCAAACATCAGACCATTTCCATAAAGTGGCCACTCTTCAGAAAGCTATATCCCATTGAAAGTATGTTTCCAAGTTGCCATCAGCTTTAGAATGTTCCTGATAAGTAAGCAAAGCTGCTGAGGGACTTTGGCAGTGAATTTCTGGGGGCTGGTGAGAGGAGGATGTTTACCAGAGCGCAAAGGCCAGGTCCTGAGCAGAGAACATTTTGGCCCAGATAGATCCCGGAGAAGGCATTTTTGCCAAGCACAGACTCCATTCTCAGGTCCTGAAGTCAGCGTTAGAAACTAAACAAACCTTCCCGGGTTCACATTTGTTTACTTTTGGCAAAATGCAACTTCCTGTCTGAAAGGAAAGGGTCAGTAAAGCTTTCTATAGCCTTCTCGCACATAAGTCTCTCCTTAAAACAATTGATTTGTTAAGCATAAATGAATTAAATGTACACAGTGGGGATCTCCTGTCTCCTCGAAATATTCACATTTTAATAGGGAAAGCGCTCAACAAAACCAAAACAAATATTTTTTCAACTGTTGGCCCATGAGGATTGTTTAGGCCATTTCTTCTTCTGAGAGCAAGAAAAACAGACATCAGGAGGGAGCCAAGTTATATGTGCTGTGTCAGAGAAGTCACTTCGACACACTTGGGGGTTGAGATTTCAGTTACACAGAAAGTCAGAAAGTTTAAGTTCCCACAGCCACTCAAACCACATTCCCCAGCATGAATACAGAGCAACTGGGTCTTTCATTATATGACTGCATCCCCAGCCACACCCTTCAGGGTCCTGCAATTCTCTTGGATGGTCCCATGCCCTGCACTCAGGTTTGAAACTGACCCACAACCCCTCACAAATCCACCATAAGCCTTTTACAAGGATCCTAGATAATTTATTCTGTGTATGGGCGGGGGTGGAGGGGTTTCTGTAATTAATTTTTAGTGCATCTAGCAAAGTTAGCGTCAACTTTCTGTTTATTTATAATCCAACTGCTCGCTATAAATTGCAGATCTTTTTGTCATAAAATACTAAATGTGTAAAAGACCTTAAAAATCATCTGCTCGACTCCTCTGCACCCACCTATACTCAGACACGTAAATAGCATAGATGAAGAGTATAGAGAAGATTTCTCCCTAGGTTGAAACTTCTTGCTCCTAGGGCAAGAACTATTTTATTTATCCTTGCACTCTCCAATATAGTACCATGAACACAGCAAGGACTAGGGAAGAAAGCGTTGAATGAGTAAGTTAAAGAGCTGTCCTCGTCTGCAAGGTCAAGGACAGCACACAAGAAGCCTGACTCCCCATTCTGTGTGCCCCTCACAGTGCTGCCTCCTGTGCATCCACTAGATTGTAAGCTCCTTGAAGGCTAAGGAAGTAACTTACAGTTCTTTTTGACCATCCCGTCCTAGGCATTGAAATTTGCAAGCATTCAATAAAAATATTTTGAATGAGTAAAGGACTTAGTGAATGAGTAAGTAGATGAAAACAATTCTAGATGGTCCCCAACTTACGATGGATGGACTTAGTTTTTTGACTTCCCAATGGTGCAAAGTGATATGCATTCTGTGGAAACTGTACTTCAAATTTTGAATTTTGATCTTTTCCCAAGGTAGTATTATGTGGTACAATATTCTCTCAAGACACTGAGCAGGAAGCCACGGCTCCCAGTTAGCCACTCAGTCACAAGGGTGAACAACCGATACACTTACAACCATTCTGTACCCAAATGACCATTCTGGTTTTCACTTTCAGTACAATATTCAATAAATTACATGAGCTAGTCAACGCTTTAGTATAACATAGGTTTTCTGTTAGATGATTTTGCCCAACTGTAGGCTAATGTAAGTGTTCTGGGCATGTTTAAAAGCTACTCTAGGCTAAACTATGATGTTTGATAGGTTAGGTGTATTTAAAGCATTTTGAACTTAACAATATTTTCAACTTACAATGGGTTTATTGGGACATACTCCCATTGTAAGTCAATGAAGCTCTGCACATGAATGTCTTTCTTGAGTGACTGCAATATTATCCTGCCTGAAAGGGAGAATTCTTTCTTTCTCTAAGATGCTGGGTTCAAGGAGAAGTGGATTTGTTCATATTTCATTTCTTTTGGCCCTTCCTTTTGGTGTCTAACTGGACAATCACAAAAATGAGAAGAGCACTTATGACAGGAGAAATCACCCCCCCTCACAGTGCTGCCAGTTCTCTTCCTACAAACCAAAGCAAACCAAGTCCATCACCTACTTTTAATGAAAATGGGTCCATCTTGGCCCATGAGGCTCTTACACCTGGCTCCAAGCTACCTGTCCATCTTATCTGCAGCCTACCTACCAAGTGAGCTTCTCCTAGTTTTTTAACTTAGTGAGATATTGTATGATGTCATGTTCCTGGGCATGCTTTGGCCTCTGTCTGGAATGTACTTCACTATCACTATGATTCTTATGATACTACCATCACCACAGCCACCTCATCACTGCTGCCATAGTCATTTTCACCACCATCACCCACCATCATCTTCATTCAAAACCAACATCACCACCAACACCATCACCGCCTGTCCACTACCATTACCATCTAATTACCACCACCTCACCACTACCCCTTTAAACTTGAAAAAATTCTTCCTTTCTTAAGAGCCAGCTCAAATGGAACTTCCTATATCCCTCCAGAATTTGGTGCCAAGCCCCTCTCTGAGCTCCAGCAGTCATTTGTTCTTAACTGTGTAATTGCATCTAGCACATTGCATTGTAGTTTACTCAATTGCATGTCCTTTCTAGTAGCTCATAGCCTCTGCTGGAGTCTGAATCCAGGACTGAAAGAAAATATTTAGGAAGAGCCTGACCACAGATCACAGAGCAATGAGGGTCAAGAGGAAGGAAATGCATGAGGCCTGGTGGCACAGACAACAGAGTAGGGTTACATATCCCCAAACAAAGGTCAGCAGGTTTCAAGAGTTACTGACCTTGCCCCTCAACAAAGATGTGGTATGATTACTTTTGGGGGGCAGGGGTAGGGGGAAGATTAGCCCTGAGCTAACTACTGCCAGTCCTCCTCTTTTTTGCTGAGAAAGACTGGCCCTGAGCTAACATCCATGCCCATCTTCCTCTACTTTATATGTGGGACACCTACCACAGCATGGCTTGCCAAGCGGTGCCATGTCTGCACCCAGGATCCAAACCGGTGAACCCGGGGCCACCGAGAAGCAGAACGTGCGAACCTAACTGCTGCGCCACCGGCCTGGCCCCGGTATGATTAGTTTTATAGCCTACCTCTGACATCTTTCTGGGATTCTCACTTTCATTCAAATAATCATTAAATAAAATTATAAAGCAGGTGTTCAGTACCAAGATTGCAGACATATTGGGTAGATAAACAACCAGATCACTCGCACACAGAACTAGAATAGGGTGGGGGTGGGATAGTATGGGAAGGGTCTTCTGAGTTCAGGGAAGCCTCCAGGAGGAAGCACGGTTCGGACTGAGGCCTGACAGCTGGATAAGGACTAACGAGGTAAGGAGAGAAGAGAGAGTCCATGATGAGGGAGCACATCTTTTTGTTTTTTGAATACACTAAGCGTATTACCATCCAGTCCCTTGAATTTTCTATTCCCTCCGCATGGAATGCTCTGCTCCCAGATCTTTACATGGATGGCTTCTCTTCATTCAGGTCTCAGCTCAGATGTCACCTCCACAGAGAAAGCTTCCCTAACTATCCAACCTAAAGGATCCCCCTTTCCAAACACTCTAGCACAGTACTTGGCAAACGTTAACGTGCATAGGAATCATGGCGGCAGTGGGGGGAATCTTGTTAAAATGCAGATTCTGATCCAATAGGTGTGTGGTGTTTCTTGAGATTCTGCGTTTTAACAAGCTTCTTTGTGATACAATGCTGTTGACCCAGGACCATGCTTTGGACAACTCTGGCTCTAGCGTATCATAGTGTCTGATTTTCTTCACAGCTCTTATCATTACTATAAGAAATTATCTTGTTCATTAATTTTTTTCTACTTATTCTTCTCACATACACATAAACCTTTCTACTAGAAAATGAATTTCATGAAATTAGTTATGTTTTTTTCTCTTTTGCACCCCTCTCTCCCCAGGACTTGGCATATAGTAATTGCATATCAAATATGATTGAACATGTGAATGAATGAATGATCAAGAGTTTGGCCTTCTAGCCCAAGGCTGCACATCTCTCCCATCCCATAGGCTTCTAGAGCAAGACATCAGCATCTCATACCAAAGAGCACGAGAGAATTATCTTGAGAGTTAGTCAATGCCATGCCTGTGGGTCAGCGTGTAGCCAGGGTTTCACAGTTCCTTCCTCTTTATTTCACCCCAGCAGTCACTATGAGCTCATCCCAGCTCTGGGAACACTGTCCTTTCCTGCTCAGCTTCCGGCATAAGCGCTTGGTGTTTCCGGTGGAAGCTACCCTCTCCACCCGAACCCTGAATCAAGGGAATTCTCAGATTCTGTGCCGTCTTTTCTTTAATCTATCTGGCTTTTACCAAGCCCGATGAGCTGTAGCTAACTTGTGCTCTTAAAATTATTCTTAAAAAGTCTTCCCTCTGGTCAGATACTCTATCTCATTCTGCTGCTCAATGAGCCTTTCCACCTGGGATTGAGCATGCTTTCAAATTTTTCATTTTTCCAAACCAGTTTCCATTTCCTGAACATCCTCTTTCTTCTCACTGACCCCAGTGGGCACAGATTGTCATTGCCAAGCATTATGGAACATTGCTTCAAGATTAAGTACTGTCCCTGGTATGGGGAATTCCAGAGGACAGACATGATCCCATTCCCTGGAGACCAAAGGCCTTACCACAGAGAGAAAGCGGCCTACACGCAAAAAGAGAAATAACTTCCCAATCTACTATATACAAGGTGCCAAATGAGTAGCACACAACACTCATGTGCTGTGCACAAGCAAAATGGGCCTAGGAAGCCCACTTTCTTGACAATACTTTGTTGCTAACTCCTGTTACTCCCCACTGGCTATTCCTTCTTAGTTTCTTTTACACACTTCTTCCCCTCCTTGCCTTTAAATGTTGACATGCTCTGGGTTTAGCCATGACCTTTTTCTCTTCCATCTCTATACTTTCCTGCTCTGGGAAATCTCAGCCATTTACATGACTTTAAATAGTATCTCTGTGCTGACAACTGCCAGATTTCATCTCTATTCCAGACCCTTCTTTGAATGACAAGTTCATATAATCAACTCTTTGGTTAATATCTCCACATAGATGTCTTACAGACATCTTAAGCTTAACATATCCAAAACCAAAGTCTTGGATTCCATCTCTCTCTGTCTCTCTCTCTTGCTCTTTATCTCTGTCTCTCACACATAGACACTCACAGGCATATACACACACATACGCATACCCCCATTTAAATTCTGTTCATCACCCAATTTTCCATTTAAATAGTTGTTCAGGGAAACAAAAAAGCTGAAATCATCTTTGATTCTCCTTTCTTGCTTCCCCCACCTCCAATCTGAGTCAGTTAGAAATATATTTGGTAGTCTCTAAACAAAATTTAACTTGCAGTGATTTAATAGGAGTTCGATTATATTTTTCACAAAAGAAGTCCAAAGATAGGCAGTGCAGGGTGAGATGAGAGCTCCAGAATGTCATCACAGATCAGGCTCCTTTCTTTCTGTTTCCTCTGTGGGTGACTTTGTCCTTTTGCTTGTTGCCCCTTGTCCTCAAGATGGCTGTTCCACACCAGCATCTGCAATCCAGACAGGAAGAAGGGGAAGAGCAAAGGGAAGATGTCATTTGGCAGTTGAATACACTTCCTTTTAAAGAGCTTTCCCATACTCCCTGCTCAGCAGTTCCCTCTTACATCTTGTTGGCTAGAACTATAGCACATGGCCACCCTTAGTTGCAAAAGAAGCTGGGAAATACAGATTTTTGGGGGAGTTAGGTACATTGTCACCCCAAACAACATTTACATTATAAATTTTATATAATTTATATTATATAGCATTATATTAGTAAGAAGGAAAGGGAGAATGGATATTGAGAAAGCAACCTAAAATGTCTGCCACAAAATCCATCAGCAAGTTGTTATTCCTACCTCTGAGATACATCATAAATTCATGCCTTTCTCTCTGTCTGTGCTATCACCAGCACCATGATCCCCTCCAACCAAGTTACTGCAATAGCCCTTTGAGTTAACTGGATTCTACAATTGCCGATCTCCACCCAAAATCAGAGTACGGTAAGCCTTTAAAAGCATATATCAGATCATGTAATTCTTGTGTTAAAATACCTGTTATTTGCCACTGCAAGTAGAATAAAATCCGAGCACCTATCATAACCCACACGCTTTGTATGATTTCACCCCTGCCTGCCTCTCTAGATTCCCTTGCATCGCGCTCTCTATTCATTCACTCAAACACATTTATTGAGTGCCTACTGTCTTTAAAGCATTGTTTTAGGCACTAGGGATAAAATAGTCAAAAAATCAGACAAAAACACCTTCCTTCATGAAGTTTACACTGTAGTGGAAGGAGGAGACAGCTAATAAACAAAATATTTAAGTAAGATAGTTGATGATAACAAAATGCATGTTGATGATAGTCAAATGATGATAGTAAAATGCTTGGTCATTCTCTCTGCTTCACCTTTACTAGACTCCCTCCACTTAGTCCAACTCTTCTAACTGAGAGTCTCCTCTGCCTAAATTGCTTTTCCCTCACCATTCCCACAGCCTTCCATGTATGCCCTTTGGGTATCAGCTTAAAGGTCACTTCTCCAAAGAGGCCTTCTCTGACCACTCATAATAAAATAGGACCACCCTGGTCTTCTCTTTCATAGCACTTATCACATTTTGAAATTGGATGGATGGATAGATGGATGGAGAGTTGATAGATAGATAGATAGATAGATAGATAGATAGATAGATAAATAGAGAATAGATGTATTAATGCATATGTTTAGTTGTTTAATATCACTATCTCTCACTGAAGATTTCCCTCTGTAATTGCAGAGATCATGTCTACTTTGTCCAGCATTCTAGCCCCAAGGCCTAGAATGGTCAGTTCCTGACATATAGAGGCACTTAATGAATATTTGTTGATGGATGAATAAATCAGTGAACAAGTGAAGTGAATATGATATGGGCCTTTGAAAAGAAAGATCAGTGCTGTGGTAAGAAGAGAGAGAGGAAAAAGGCTTTCTTAGACAGAGGGAACTAGATAGGCAAAAACAGAGAGGCAGGGATTGCCTTGGTCTGATTGCTGGGCAATTAGCCATTTTGGACTAGAATCATGGGAGAGGATATTAGAGGGATGGATTGGAGACACATGAAGGAAGGTCTCCAATGCTGGGCCTTATGTGGGGCAACATTAAAAATAAACAGATAGAAGGTAAGCACACTTTCACAGAATAATACCATATCTCTTTGGAACAAGCCCCACTCAGAGAAATCAAAAGACAAGAAAAGTCCATAAACTTGGGTTACTCCACTGTTGGGATAGAAATCACCTCTTCCCTCTTAACCAACTTAATATCTTAAAATTATTTCTTTCTGATGATAAAAGTAATAAATATTGAGGCTGGTCCCGTGGCGTAGTGAGTGGTTAAGTTCAGCACACTCCACCTCAGTGGCCCAGGTTCACATCCCAGGTGCAGACGTACACCACTAGAGAGCACGCTGTGGCAGTAACTCACATACAGAATAGGGGAAGATTGGCACAGAGGTTAGCTCAGAGCAAATCTTCCTCAACAACAACAACAACAACAAAGTAATAAATATTTATTATAGAATATTTGCAAAGCACAGAAAATTATAAAAGAGAAATTAAGTATCACTACTGTGAACATTGATACAGGCTTTCACCAACTAAGGAGCCCCCTTTGTCACACTCAGCCTAGTGTACCGGTGTAGGGGGGTTGAGGGGGTTGGCAACAGCAGTGACCAAGCAGCTGGGACAACCAGAGGAGGAATTGGTAACTTTGGCTCCAACGCTGGGCACTGGAAAGCCGCTTTATCCAAAGCTTTAGCTTTGGTTTCCTCATCAGTCAAAGAAAGGATTTTCTGATTGGTAGTTTTCAAAGTTTGTTCCTTAGGGCTTTATGGAGCCCTTTAGAAAAGAAAGGGGAAAGACTTGAATCTCGCCCCCGTGACCTCTCCTCCAGACAGCAGAGATCCACAATTACCTGCTTCTCATATTGGATTTTGGCATAAGTTTTGTATTGGATTTTTTCGTTGATGTTTTATTTTATTTTTAACAACAGATGGGAAGACTAACACAAGATTGCAATTCATTTTTTTAGATACTTAATAAAGTTACTTCCAGCTCTAACTTTTGATGATGATTCTAATTCCTTTCTGGTAGAAATCAATATAATCACAAACTAGGTGAAACTGAAAACTCATTTTTCTATGGTCCTAGAGGAGCTTCCTAAAGATTCTAAAAGTATCAAAGTGCCCTAAATAGAATAGCTTATATCAGCTCAGCTACAGCTGTATATGACTTTGGACAAAGCATTTAACCTCCCCATGCTTCAATCTCTTCATCTATAAGATGGAAATCATATCACCTACTGTATTGGATGCAGGAAAAATGAAATTATGTCACATACACAAAAATGCCTAGCACACAATAAAGAATGTAGCAGTAGATTACATTTCCTTGCTTCTTACTATGTGCCAGGATCTGTGCTCATATTTGGTATACCTTCCATCATTCAATCTGCACGCGAGCTTATGAGGTAGTCACTTTTTTACTATTGTCTATTGTTGTCCCTGTTTTGCAGATGGGAAACTGAAGCTTAATGAAGGTAAGTAATTTTTTTTTCAATCTTGCACAGAGCTTGCATTTGAACCCAGGTAGTGAGATGCATGGGGCTGGGCTAGAAAATGAAGAACAGTCCCAACAATACTAACTGCAGCTCGCCTATTTTGAGAGCTCACTGGATGGTAGATACTGTTATAAAAGCTTTGGCTCATTTAATCCCTGTGTCAATCCAACGGTTTACAGACTGGAAAACTGAGATGCAGAGACACTAAGTGCTGTAATCTCTCTGCTTAGAACTGGTTTCAACTACTCACGTAGTTTCTCTACTGGACATTAGGAACCCATACAATTAATTGTCTAATTGATCCTTCTGAAAACATGGAAAAATAATTATCCTCTAAAATGAGAACTCCCAGGGGAGGAGGTGCATTAACTCAGGATTTACAGCAGGAAAGGGTAATCATCCAAGACTCCTTCCCCTCCCACCGCCCATGTCCATTCAATTACAGGTCCTGCAGCCTCACCTCCTGAATTCTCTAATTCATCCCTTCCTCTCCATCCTACTTGACTGCTGTAGTTGGGCCACTTTGCCTCCCAACAGCCTGCCACCTGGTCTCCCTGCTCCAATCCTGACCACTCCCCTAGTCCTCTCAAACTCACCCTCCATACTGCAATTTCCCTACTAAAATGGCTCCCCCATGCCCTACAGAATAAAGCCGTCCCTTCACATTTGTCTCCAGCCCCATTTCTGGGCTTAAAATAGATATATTCTAACATCAACAAATCGCTCATAATTCTCCACACCAACCTTATCCTTTCTCGTCTTTGTGCCTTTTTACATGTTCTGTCTGCATAGAAATCCTTTCCCATCTTTCTGCAGGAAATTAACTCTTGCTCTTCCTTCTCTGCATCGCCAGGTTAATACACGTCCCTCTCCGCCAGGCTCCTAATGAGCCCTGCGTTCTTAGCACATTAAGTTGAAGGTGTCTGTTTTGATGTCCGTCTACCCCACCACACCATACACTTTTTGAGGGCAAGAACAGCAGTGTTTTATTCTTCTCTCTACCCATGACTCTTAGTACAGTGTGTGACTTATAGTGAGCACTCAATAAATATTTGTTAAAGAATCGAACCAAAGTCAGTGAACTAGAGATTGTAACGGGCAGTATGTAAATCTGTAACATGTTGTTAGTGATAATTAACATTCAGTGAACCCTCCCAAGTTTGAATAATTCTATTAAGCAGGTAACATAAACCATTTGCTCATCTAAGCACTTTACCTCATTTAATCTTTGCAACAGTCTTATGAGTTAGGTGCTGTTACCGTCCCCACTTTACAGATGCAAAATTTGAGAGAAAATAAGCAACATTCCCAGGATCACTGACCTAGTAAGTATCAGGGTTGGGGTCTGAATCTGACGCCAGGGTCAAGTTCTTAACCAATAACCACAAGACTGTAATGCCAACCAACAAGCATGTATCATATACTCAAGCCAAGAGCTGCCAATGCTGCATACACAGGGACCAAAATAAAGGCATAACATCTATCTTAGAAAGAGAACCAAGAGAGATTTGTAACCAGCATAAATTATCAGGGCATGGCTGGTGTCAAGAAGAGCGGGTCACCTGGCATCTACATGTAGCTCCAATTCTCCAAAATGAGGAGCTGATGCTATGGCCACATCCATTTAAGCCACTGTTTAGCAGTTAAAGGCAAAGGTCTTGGAGTCAAACAGACCTAGGTTTAAGTTTCAATTCCATTCACTTTAGCAGCAAATGAATGATCTTCTCCAACCCTCAGTAGCCTCATCTGTAAACTAGAGATAATGCTACTTAACTGGCTTTGAGAATTAAAGGAAATAATGTCAGTTAAGTATCTAGTGATGTGCCTGACGCACAGAAGCACTCAAAATAGCTACTGTTATTACTGTGATGTTGACTATTATCATGCAAGCACTAAATCAAAAAACATTCCAGGAAGGAG